CTCTCGCCCGTCACCTTCATCTGCACCAAAATATGAAGCCATCTCCATACACTGCCTCTCCTTTAATTGCTATTATTACTACTTTTTTAAACATTCAATTGATTGTTTGATTTGTTATGTTTGGTTCTGATGTTTCACGTTGGTTCAACATGCTCCCAGCGGGCATGTAATAAATATAAATATAATTATATCTCCAAACGCAGCCTCACTCGAGAAGGCCTATGGAATTCACGTCACCTCCAAACAGCTGCGAAACTTCTGTATGGAGTCACCCATGGACAGCTACCTGGAGACCAGTACTCTTGATCTGGAAGACCTCCAACATCGAGCAGCTCCGACAACGTCGCTACGGTCTAGGACATCATCTTCACCACAGTCGCCAAGGCGCGGGTTGATGGTATGGACCGGAAGTTCCTGGAATGTGAAGACCGATATTTTCTTCGTGGACCCCGGACTGAAAGTGAACGCTGACGGTACATCGACCAACTCGAAAAGAATATCCTCCCTTCGCCCGTATCATCTTGGATACTTCGACTACGTCTACTGCTAAAGGACTGGGTGCCACCACATGGAATCGAAAGACGTTGAAAAAACCCGCTTACTCAAAATGGAAGGTTGTGAAAACGTGAAGAAGACGGAATAAGAATATCCAAGTCTGTCTCCTGATCTAAACTCGATTACTTGGCGGTGCTCATCATTGTGGTCTACAGTGGCGGAGAAATCAACGAAGTCGCTGAACTCAGGCACCGAATCACGGTCGCGTGGCAGAATCTCTCGATGGCGTTCGTCCAGAAGGCTGTGGCGGAGTTTCGGATAGTGTACAATGTGTTCTTGATATGGTGGAAATGTCCAATCAAAATTAAATAAAGTGTAACTTACATCGCCTTGAAAGTCGAGGAAGAAAAGTGTCTTTTTATTATTGCCCCCCCCCCTCCCCTGCACACATCTACCTTCCTTACGCAGCTATGCCAGCTTCAGACGTTCTGTTCCTTCTTTTTATGGTTCCCATGTATGCAATCCATTAACAAAATGCTATATGTAAACATGTAGCATTAGCGCCGTCGTCGTCTGAATGGATTCACTTGCATTCTTTCTTTCCAGGTATGAAGCACAGTTTGTCAAATGGCCTGAAATCTCTGCTCAGACAACAAAAACTGTGTTAACGCATAGTCTTAAAACATTAAGGTATTCGAGATTATTTAAATGTTCTCTGTCATAAGAAAATTTCGCAAAGCGTAATGTGAACCTAATTCTTATTGTTGAATGTTTACAGGTCATTTATTTCATCACTACTCGAAGCACAGTTCACTTCGACTCATGTGCAGCCCTTAGTCGAACTTTGCATGACGGTGCGACTGAAATTTATTTCGGATGTTATCGACAGCGGTGTGGAAAGTAGGTTGTTGTGTTATGTGTGCCCTCTTCCCTGTTTTGGTTTGGGAAGGGGCATTTCGCACTCTCGCTACTTCCCATTGTCATGTCAAGAAATAACGTAGAGATCTGTAGAATTTTGTGAATCATGAAGTAATTCCAGACAAAGTCTGTAGAAACTACTTGTCAACTCTCGTGAGGAATATCTATGAACTCTTGTAAAGCAATCAGTACGAGAATGGGAAGTAGCGAAGGTGCAAAGCTCTCCCCCCACCCCTCCAAGGCAAACTGCGCCCCTACCGTGTTCCAGCTATACCGGTTCGATGTCACTTTATGATTGAAGTTTGTCTTTATTAGATATTTGCGCCCTTCGGCATGAAGGAAAACTGGAAACAGGATTTCAGTTCTAGTATTGCAGCAAAGACAGCCTTGCCAGACTTTTACGAGAATGAGGTATTATTTTGTATTACACAATAGTATTCCGTTCAGTGTCGCTTAAAATACAGTGCTTTGGGATATTGGTTACCCGTAAATTTCTTGTTAAGGTATTTGATTGTTTGTCTGCTGTAAGGGATGCGCTTTCCACGTCTGGCTATCCAAATGAGGCCTGTTTATTCTCTCGTGAACGGTTTCGAAGTACCCTAGTGGACATCTTCGTTCATTTGGTCACAGCAATTAGGCACTGTTTTGATCGGTGAGTCGCTCTCTTTGATTTATTTGACCCGTCTCGAAACATTCCTTTGCACCCTGTTCTGTTTGGCACCGTTCCAAAGAGAATTTTCTAAAGTGCATTAACCTCTTGATCGATTCCAGGTTACTGAATTTGCGAGGGGATCAGAAGAAACCTCAAGATCTTGACCTCAGTCGCAAGGACGAGGAGAAGAGTCATGTAAGCAGTTTGGCATCGTTACATCATCGCTGCGGCTTTTTACTCAATGTTTTGCAGCTCACTACAAAGAAACTGTTAATTAGTATTTGCAATTTGGAGTTTATATTGGAAACAGCGTTGAAAAACATCAGCCGGCGTATGCTTGATTGTGGCGTGAAGTATGCTGATGAGGTGTATGAGGTAAGAATGACACTTTCATAATTGCCACCGTTTCTTCTCTCTGACTTTGTTAAAGTGCGTTCATACTCCGCAATCCGATCCAGTCGCGCGAGCAATTCGGTTCCTGTACTGTATGAACACTGCCCAATTTCATTTCTGCCGTTTCTGGCGCAGTGCCTTCGATTCTAGCCTCGCGATCCAAGCCATCAGGTTGCGAATTGTGAACGCGCTTTTGAACTTTTTCTTTTCCATAAGACTAAAATTTGATTTCGTACGCTTTTCCTTCACCTAATAGATTCTCTTGCTCGGGTCCTCAGTTCACGTTACAACTCTTCAGTAGTTTCCCTTTAATTTTCAGAAATCGAAGGCAAAACTATCAACGTATAGAAAAACGCTCGTTAAGTGCTACATCATGATCAAAAGCAGTGCTTTCACAACACTGATAGATTCTGCAAATTACGAGTTTATACCTGATGATGGTGAGCGTAACACATCAAATGCCCCTGTTTCTCTAGCAGAGTTTCCTTCAGTAATTGAATAGATGTATTACTGACGTTGACGTCAAAGTTTTGTTCACATAGATGTGTCGGATTATGCGAAAGAAATGATGATGTGTTGTGTGTTACAACAAGCTGAATTGGAACTATGCGCTCCTCAGTTGACATCGCAATGTCTTCAGGTTAAAAATAGCTTTGGAAATTTCTGCGTTTATCCTTGTTTTGATTTGGTATGATGTTGAACTCTATTTCTGCCCAACGAAGCTCGATAGGTGGGGCCTTTTATTGGCCTTAAATTTCGACCTTCCCTATTCTCAGAGGCCTGGAAATGGCTCGAAGCTTCCGGCTTGTAAGCCCGCCCAAAAGATTTCCCACATCATGCGTTTTCGACGTCGTGTCCGAACTCTTTTAACTACCCGTAATAGCTGCGATCAACTCACCGAACACCACGCGGAGCGTAACTGACACTGTGTGTCAGTAGGATTAGTAAGACGCTGGCAGCATTAGGATTAGTAAGACGCTGGCAGCATACTAATCTTGCCCCACAGAGCTGCGCTCCACCCGATGGGTAAGCTGATCGCAGTTATTACCAGGATGTTCAGATGCATCCGGGATACGACGTTGAAAACGCCGGAATGGGGAAGGCGTTTGGTCGGGTAGCATACAAATTACAAGGTCTATGAAGAAGACGAGAAGGTCGAAGGGTCAGGCCATAAAAGGTTTCGTCTTAGCAACCTGGTTTGGCAGAAGTAACATAAAATTTGACTAGCTTTGTTGGCTAGCTAGTTAGTTCTAAAATTATGGTGTATAATTTCTGCATTTTTATTCGTTCGCTATTTTTTAGGCTACTGTTCAAGCAGCTTTTGACAATTTGTTGGATCACTTGGAAGCACGCGAACCGGCATCCCAACGTGAAGCTACGCAGAGAGTTATTGATATTTGTGCTTTAGAACAGGCCCTAGGAGGTTTCACTAACTTGGAAACTAGGTAAGTGCTATATTTCATGTTCATACAGTATTTATCCTTCTATATTTCGCTAAATCGTCTTTTATGTTAACTTATAAATGGTTCTTGGCATTTGGGGATTACATAGCATGAAATTGCATCAGAAAATATAATAATTATGAGTATATATTTAATTTTTCAAGGACTCATGTCAATGCATATCGTGCTGGCTTGGTTGCGCAGCTTGATCAAAGGTGAGTTAGTCACACGGCTATGAATTTTTCATGACTTTCTCCTTTCACTGCGGAGAGTCGTGTTACACTGTATTCGCATCAAGACCAATCCACTCAATGTAGCAGTGTTGCGACGCGTCGACTCTATAGACTCTCTTTGCGCCTGCATCTACGCTCTCTCTCTCTCTCTCTCTCTCCCTCTCTCTCTTTCTATGTACTAGCTAGGAAAGTGCCTTGGCTACTGTTCGCGATGCCGCGAGCGGAGTGGGAAGTAACGGTCACAATGTTGTAGCCGCAGTCACAGGGTAACGACGTCACCCGTTTCCTTGCTAGTTGACGCGAGAGGCGTAGACACAGCGAGAGCCGGACGCGTCACAGCACTTCCACGTCGAATGGATTGGGTCCTAAGGCGACTGCTATACGCACAACGCCATAACACAAGATCTGGCTTCAGGTTGCTCCTCCTTTTTAGAAAACTCCAACTATGCCTGAACAATATGCGGTCGTCAATGCGTATGGCTATTGAAAGTTTAGAAGGAGGTGCTGAAGACGATTTGAACACTTCAAATATCTAGCATGTTCAATCACCCTTCCGGTCATGTACATGGGTACTCATATTTATCTCTTACCAGTTGATGACAGAGATTAATTGTATTCTTTCCATAATTCGCTTAGTGTCAAAGATTATGGTGCGTTATGTTTGTTTAATATTCGGTTACGCTGATTCTGGTTATAGATTTTTATATTTATGTCATTTTGTATTGTGAGACAGTAACTGTGATGGACATGTGCTCATGTTTTGAAACTTTCCTGGTGTGATGTGCAAGCTTTAAATAAATATTCTTGCTATTTTTATTGAATATGGGAATCCCGTTGTTTCGGTTCATTTTTCTCTTATACAGGGTCCGGGAGTAAGCGTATAGCCTCATGCCACTACTAAAGGGAGCTATCTCAGAGTACAATCTGCGGCGCTCGGAACGAGTTCCACGCAGACTTCACACATGCAGCCATGTTCGTAACCGTTCCGTTCTAGCACGGGGTCTATCTTTGGTATCCGATTGTTCTTGACTTCTGGTTGATCTTAAATTACATATTACAATGAACAACATTCTCGTAACGTTGCAGAGTTCACTGAGATGTTGTCTATGCGGGAGAGGCTCTCTTCCACTAAATTTTGGGTCATTATATTAGCCGTTCTTGGATTTCTATGGATACCTCGTCTCAGCGCTGGTTGGGTAAGTCGCTGATGGTATCGTGACATTAAAATTCGCTTTTCAATGAGTTGTCCTTGTTGCTTTGAAGGCAGTTGGCACGATACATCCTCAAAAAGAGTTACAACTAACGGCGGAATCCCTGAGCAAGAGCTGCGCCTTTACCTAGAAGGGTGCCCTTATAAGGCCCTATCAAGCTGCAACATACCGACCCGAACGCCCACCGCGCCCGCCCGCCCACAAATGGACGACCGTACCTGATGCTCGTATTGCTTCATTTGCTAAGTAAAATATGAAGCGAAGGGATTAATCTGCACGGACGCGGTGCTGCATGGATATGAACATAAATGCAATCGTATCTAGCGTAACGGTTATTGGCAGGATGCCTACGGAAAACTCGTCCGAAATCGCTTTTTAAGTCATGAAGAACTCAGAACTAGAAGGGCTTTTCTTAGCAGGTTTCTTGTATATTAGCATTTGGGTTCAAAGCCAATATGACTACGAAGCCTTATTGCCCTGACACTACGCCGATAGGTCCGTCCCTCTCAAGGCCTGGTATGTAAGGTTTTACGCATTGCTCGTTGTAGCTATTATATGTTTGAAATTGTAATTTAAGGCCTGACGAAGGCATTATATGCCGAAAGCTTGCCAATAAAGTGGTTAAACAAGTCAAGAGCTTCAAGCACACTGTTCAAGAACTACGAAGCCGTTCAAGAACTTCAAATAGATTTTCAGAAAATTGCGGTCATAGAAACGCCATAACAATTCTCGGGTGAAAGGCCTCGCGCCGTATCCCAAATCCGCCCGATTTTACCTCAACCATTGGTTTCGTTCCAGAGTTAGATCATCCCAGGACCAAAATCTTGAATCATACTCAGCTATGGTTGCAAGACATACTGGCCGTTCATACAAGTTGCTTACAAACCTTCCGGGGTTGGGCGAATTACGAACGGATTGATCAACCTTACTCAATGTATCATTTTTTTCCTCGAAACTGTGAAAATGTCAGTTTTTCTACTCACCTTAACTTTCTTCCTTTTAGGTCAACAGTGGAGAAGGTCATGAAGTTGGTAACAGACAACGGTTTGCTGCGGTACTCAAAATGGAGGTTTTCTTGCTGTTGTGCAACTTCTTCTTATATAATCAGTTGATGGTTTACTTCGATAAAGAGGACCGCGAGAAGTATGACAAAAGATACGTCACAGTGAGTTTCAGGATATCGGACGATGTTATTTGCTACTTACATAAATTTTTCGGTAGATATCATCGGATTTGGAAGGGAAAAGCGTGGTACATGTCCTTTGACAACTAGAAGAAGTGGAGTAGTGAGCTTTGTATGCTCAAGAGTATCTCACGGTACCTTAAGAGCGATATATGTCAATGAATTTGAGCTCAGATTTCCCTAGCGGTATACTGAGGTAACTCGTGCTGCGGGAGGGAGAGGCCCATTCTTTACTCCTGAAAGCTCTATTGATTTACAAAGCTCTCTAGGATATATTTATGCTACTCCTCGATATCATAAGGTCCACACTTTCTGGTCGCTTGTTTCGATTTCGTAGAGGGCGCTGGGTAGTGCGACATACGCGCTCACATGTGGCAGCGTTCAGATTCGCAATATCGTGTGATGCAGTGCGTCACAGCGCGTCATCGCGAGGTCTGAACGCTCCCTAATCTTCCACACCCTCGCGATGTTAGCACCGTTTTCGAGCTCGACTCTGTCACTCGAAGAAGAAATGAATCAAGATGCTCCCACTCATTTGTCAGGAAGGCTTCAAGCGCTGTTCTAGTGCTGGATGTGCAAGAAGGGATCTTGGACGTTCTCGTATTTCTTCTAGCCCTTCCAAGATTGAGCAACTTTATTGAAGGCCTACGTTTCGGCGTCTTCGCCTTCGTCAGAGCCTGAAATGGTCAAAAAACATTTCGAGACCTGCTCGCTCAAACATTTCAACAATACTCAAGACGATTTCCACATACCAGTAAATCACCCAACGGTATCGATCTAGGGCGGAACGCTGGCTTACCTTGATCTTGGACGCGTGACGCGGGGACGACCACCCTGTAGAGGCTCAAGCGTGGAGTAACAATTACTAGTACCCGATTAGGCGGTGTCAAATGAAAGTGCTGATATAAACTGTGCTTCTGTTCAGAAGAAGCCTGTTTCGGTAAACACGTAGTTTTGTTAGTAAGATTCTAGTACGAGAATCCCTCTTACCTTAATTACTTGTTTTAGAAAGATCGCAGTCGTGCTTCGAATGTTTTGATTACTTTTATGGTTGCGTCACAGATGGTGTATTTCTTGTACTTTGCACCTAGCGCTTTCCAAGTGAGTCGTACAGGTTTTGGGGATTTTGCTCTTTTACAACTCTTTTGTTTTTTTTTCTCTTTGTTCATGTCTCCAATCAATTTTTAAACTGTAACTGAATAAGATGCTAACAGGTTTTTTTCATTCATTGATAAGTCGTTTAGGGTATTCTTTTTGACATATGCGCAATTCTTTCTGGTGTGTGGGTGAATTTATTGGGCATTGTTGCTGGATTTTTCATTATAAACACTGTTATGTACGTGTTGGAGGTGAGTGTTCTTGAACAGTTACAAAGCTGGTGGGTCCGTCTACGTCACCAAGTTGTTTGCAGGCATTCCCTTCGACGAGGTTCATAGTCGCCAAAGTAGAAAATATGGCTTATATTGGTCCATTAGTACTGGATCGGAGATATCAAATCAAGTAAGTATTCAATCTTGCCTTCCTTTGACGTAACTCTAATAGACGACTCCGATGTTGCGCGGGTACATCATGGCTGCTGTTTAGAGTTGTCCTGACAGTTACCCTGGTGATGTCGTTATTGATGTGGCTCGGTAGCGACAAAATCGTTGTCAAACACGTCACTATTCCCATCAAGTTATGATTCGCTTCATTTACTGGTTGTTGTCTTTTTAACGGCATCATAACTGCATACTCAAACTTTTTTGATAATCGTTTTGTTTATAGGGCTTCACTGGATCAAATGGATCGTTCAAAATTGCCCTAGTATCAGACATTCATGCTGGTGCAAGTGTTCATAGAGATCAAGTGAGATGTTAGGTTCTTTCACTTTTGCTTATGCTCGCATTTTTTGACCCAATCATCGATCCGGTGTCACGGAATTTATCAATAAGATCTGCGTTTCGAGATACGTAGCGTTTTGAGCGACTGTGAAAAAACACTGCCATACGCCCGCAACGACGCAGAGTGTGAACGCACTCTAGCGTGTCCCCACAAATATTTTCCATTTGCAGGTTTCCAAAGTAGTTGATAAGCTTCTTGATCTTCATGCTGATGCAGTGGCTTTGGTCGGTGACATGGTTGACGGGTCGCTACGAAGCTTGGAAGACCGTATGGTGCCATTATGGTAAGTTCCCTTCCCATTGCGAGGGTTAACCACGCTCCAAATTCTATTACTTCCTTTTTCGTCCTTTTGTTAGCGATACTTTTACAAACTTCTCGTTCAAAAGAGGGTGCAACAAACCCACTCCAATAACAATTTTTTGTTAGTTTTTGCAATTTCATTGCTTGGTCATTTCAGGATGCTGCTCTACAGATACCGTACTTACTTTGTCTCAGGAAATCATGAGTATTACTACGGTAATGCTATGGAATGGTTTAGAGAATACGATCGCCGCGGAATTCATGTGCTGAATAACAAGTACTGTTTGAGCTATCTTGTTAATGATGAAGTTATACATTCAACTCGTCTTCCTTAGTCTTGATCAGTCGTTACATACGTCTCAGTTATGAAGGTGACCTCGTCACGATAAAGATGCAACATGGTGGACGATTTTATATGTGGCGCCCCTTTAATTTAGCGGACATTTTGCACAGTGAGACCTGTAGTTCCAGTGAATCTGGAAACTCTTGCACAACTACGAAGTTATGCAAGTAAGCCGCTTTGGTCACAGAAACTGCAGGTCTTCAGGAGGTGACCTATACAAGCTTCGCTGAGTACCACTGTGCTCGACCAAGACGAAGCGCAGCAATAGCTTGGCCTCTATCTGATAGTGTACGAGTGTGCCTGTGCCATTTTTTTCTGCTTTTTTGATTCGTCAGCCTAAGTGTCTGATTGTGTCTATTTTTCAGGTGCGATATGTTCCATGGTATTTGTATTGTGGGTGTCAGTGACATTTCAAGTGGAAAATCAGGGTTTGTTCTTTTCGATTGCTTTTGATCTGCAAATTAAAAGTACATCTTTCATCGACAGCAATGAGCACGTCGATGGGGAGTAGCGGAAGTGCGAAGCCTCTTCCTTTTGAGCTGCAGTGCGCCAGTTACTTGATGTTGAGTGTCGCCTTACACATTTATTTTCCAGAATACCCAACCATAGCATGAATCTTACGGAAGCTATGAAAAATTGTAGCGAAGGTTCTTCACGAATTGTCTTGTCTCACAATCCAGCTAGCGTAAAAAGCTTCTCTTCTGAGGATTTGGAGAAAGTCGACGTGGTTTTGTCAGGTTGGCTATTACTTAATTCGTATATTTACGTTTCTGGTAAATGTTTTACAAGGGGTGAGCAGATCTGCTCCATTTCATTCCGTTAGCACTGCTAATTGACTTGCTGGAGCTCAGTCAAATGGCTTACGTTTACATTGAATTTTTAGGCCATACCCATGCAGGACAGTACTATGTCCTTTTACCAATAATCCCGTGGATATTGCCCTATTTTCATGGTCTGTACGACATTGGCCATGGGAAGTTGTTTGTCTCCGCAGGCACTCTTTATCAGGTGTGTACTGGCGTGCACCTAACCGGGTATGTAACAAGACAATCGTAATTTGCAGCGCTGGCTGTGAGGAGCAACGCAGCGCACGCGAGAGGACGAGTTACCGTTCGAATTTGATTTTCAAAAAGACGGGCAAGGGTCGACATCATCGGCGGATGAAGGCCAGCGTGTTCGAATTCATTGAGTTTCGATGCTTCAGTCGATCAATAGATACACTATAGGAAGTAAGCGCTTGCACGGTCGACCGTGCGGTCGCCGACACTGCGGGCGAACGCACGATTGTCTTGTCTGTCTTCCCAGTGAATCGCTGTACAAACGAAGTTGATACGATTCAGGGAGCTCCAATGAAAATGCTGTGGATGTCGGAGATATGGGTAGTTCACCTGGTGAAGGAGTGAACGTGGGCTGTTTAGCTTTCAGAGGTTCAGAAGATGTTATCGAATGTCTTTTCTTTCGGTCTTTTTCGATGTCTAGCTTTCATCTGTGATGGGTTTTATTCGGTTTTGTGATACATGACCTCTATAGCTTATATTTTGGCAATCTTAGGGTGCGTTCCTACTTTGCGTCAGCGTTTTGAACATGCGGCATCGTGTCGACTACCTTAGATAGTAAAGGTGTCGATCTAGGGTTTGCTGGCGTACGCTCAGAGCGCTGAAGCGAAGTATGAACGCTTTACCTCTTGTTACTTTTTCGTGTACACTATCTTTGATCTGATTGCTAACTTCCATGGTATTCCATGCCATTGATGGGTGCAGATAGGTGAACCTAGAGGAAATGCTATTTTCTTATTTTTGTATATCTATGAAATCAATAAAACGTTCTTTCTTCGTCGATACCAAACTACTAATGGCAAATGATCCAACTTTGTTTCATCTAGTGTGCTTTAGCTCAGACTTACCAGCGACAGTGCGTAGGGGTGGAGTTGAAGCTCGGCCATGCGTCTGGGTCCCTCTCAGAGGCGCCCTCTTCTTCGACATAATTTTAGGCTCATATAATCTTGTAAAGGCGACATTTCTTCACAGGGTATAAGCTGGTTCGGGATAAGGATAAAGAAGTGCTGCCGAGTGCTCCCCCTCCTTAACCTACGTAGCGCTGTTACAATTGGTCTTTCAGAGTATCTTTTTTGTTGGTATGTTAAGTAGCAGTAATGGAATCTTCTCGACTAGAAATTCTATTATCATTGTGGCTATTCTCGGTTTGTTTTCGCTGAAAATGCTGTGTGCTAATTGGGTGAGTTGTTTAGGTTGCAGCAGTGGTTATTTTCAAAAGAAACGGACAATTTACGCTAGGAAGGGCCAGTTACACATTTCGCATGTGTTCGAGCAGTAGTTTTCACCCCTCTTCAGAACGCGTGCATTTTATTCGATTCTATCGCGTGATCCGAACGCCCGAGAGACCCGATCACGCGAACCAAGCGATTGAAGTCAGTTTTTATTTCACCGTGAACCTAATAGTAGCAGTTCTAGTCGTGGTTGTCCTTCATGAACCCCATTAAATAACCTAGACACCGAACGCAAAGGGTGCTGAGGAAATAACCAAGGGTCCTCGACACCTTTGAAACCGAAGGTATCCTATATGGCCCGTTGGTACTCTGCCAACTTCTTTTATCCATAAACTACAGTCGTTATGCGGAGGTGTTATGATATGTCGTAGTCCAGTATTTGAATCCAGACTAATCAAGAAAAACTTCTTTCCAGCGACCTCTTAAGTTGAGCTTTAGTTTTTTGAGTACTCGTAGCTGTCATATGGATCATCTCAATCCGGCGCAGTTCGGCGACGAGGTGGCATTTTGCTGCCCATCGATGAGTGGACCCATCTAGATAGCCTTTCTTGAGTCGACACGTCTTACCATGGTGGCTAGAAGAGCTCCAGCTTTACACGAGTTCACAAGTTTCACAAGAGTGATACTTGTACCGGAAGTAGTGAAACAGTGGAAGGCAAAATGCCCTCCCCGTCGTCGAACCGCGCCTCTCAATCCATTCTGCTTCGTTACCTATTCTGCTTTCTGAATTCACTTTCTTCTCTATTGCAACAACTTTTCATCCCTATTGACTGTACTGGTGACTGTACTGGTTTCCAGGTAAATGATGGGAAAGGTTATGAAGTGGGAAACAGACGACGTTTTGTGTCAACTTTAAGGCTGGAAAATAG